TTGGGCCTCTTGGGGGCCTCTTGGTTTTGTTTGGGTCCTCGGGGACGTTTTCGGAGCCCTGTTGGTGCGCTCATGGGCGCTCGGGGGGACCCGGCCGGGACCTGGTCGGGGTACTTTTCGTCCGGGGACCCCCAGGGGCCGCCCCGCGCGCGCGAACTAGAGAATTGTTAACCAGTTACCGGAGATCTTAGCACGCCTCTGGCCCGTTGGGCCGGCGAATTATGGAAGAAGAAACCTGGGGAGGCTTGTCCAAGGGGGACTGTCCGAGGGGGGCCTAGATCCCCGCTGGGTTGTCCAAGGGGTTGTCCAGGGTAGGTCATTCTGTCGTCATTACTCAGCATGGGTTGTCTGGGTTGTCTGAGGGATTGCCCGGGGATTTCTTGCGATTGGATTTTCCCATTGAGCAGAGTAGAAGGAGGAGCAGGAGGAGGAGCAGGAAGTTGCGAAGAGGAGCAGGAGGGGCAGCAGCAGGACATGTGGGACGCCTTCGCCACGTACCTCCTCGGTACCGGAGGGGCGGCGCCCCTGACCCTACCAAGCGCGCCTTACGCTGCCGCGCAGGAGCGGAGCTGCCGCCAGCCCCGTCGCCTTCGACGCATCGTCGTCGTCGATGCCATCGTCATCCTAGTCGTCGTCGTCGTCGTCGTCGACGTCGTCGTCGTCGATTCTGTCGACCTCGTCGTCGTCGCCAATCTCGTCGTCGTCATCGTCTCTATCGTCTTCGTGGGTTTGATCGACGTTCTAGGTTTTTGGTCGTCTGTCGCCTTCTCTTGGGGCCTCCGGAAGAGCCCTCTCGTCGCCCTGGCTGGTAGGATCCCCCCAAAATGCCCTTGCCGGAACAAGGCCTGGGGCCCCATTTTTTTGGGAGGGCGTCGTCGTTGTCGTTTTCGTCGCCGTCCCTCGTTCGCCAGAGCGCGAGCATGGGTAAAGGCGCGTGGATCAGCGCGACGGGTCCCGCCGTCGTACGGAACTGGCGCGATCCGTCGCCAGAGCAAGCGGCGACGGCTCCAGGTCTCACCCCGATCAGTGGATCCGGCGCCCACGCGCCAGATCCACAGATCCGTAATCCATGTTATCGTGTGCCCGAATCATCGATTTCGTCGGCGTCATCGTCCGCTGTCGTCGTCCTTCGTCATTGTCCTTCGTCGTCGTCTTTCGTCGTCGTCATCGTCGTCGTGTCGTCCGTCGTCGTCGTCCGTCGTCCATGTCCGTCATCCTCGTCCGACGTCCTCGTCGTCGTCCGTCGTCCTCGTCGTCATTCGTCGTCATTCGTCGTGGCGTCGTCCGTCCTCCTTGTCGTCGTCCACGGCGTCGTCTGTCGCCCTCGTCCGTCGTCCTCGTCGTCATTCGTTGTCGCTCGTCGCCATGCGTCGTCGTCGATCGTCGTCGTCGCCGTCCGTCGTCGTCGTCGTCGTCGTCGTCGTCGTCGTCGTCGTCGTCGTCTGTCCTCCTCGTCCGTCGTCCACGTCGTCATTTACTGTCGCCCGTCATCCTCGTCGTCGTTCGTCGTCGTCCTCGTCCGTCGTCCTCGTCGTCATTCGTCGTGATTCATCGTCGTCGCCGTCCGTCCTAGTCGTCGCCGTCCGTCCTCGGCGGCGTCGTCGTTCGTCGCCGTCGTCGCTGCCAGCGTCGTCGTCGGCGCCGTCTCGGCGACGGCGGCCGGGCCGCGCAGGAGCTGCAGCGCCGCCAGCTCCCCTTCTTCCAGGGGCTGACGCTGGGGGAGGCCCGAGGGCCAACAGGCAAGCAAAGAGTTGTACAGCCCTCCTCCGCCTCCTCCGCCTCCTCCTCCTCCTCCCCCTCCTCCTCCTCGTCCTCCTCATCATCATCATCATCAGCATCATCAGCATCAACATCAGCATCATCATAGCCCTGCCGTGTTGCTCAGGCCCGTCTAGCAGCGCGGCATCGGTCCCTCTTGCGAGAGCAGGTGAGACCATCGGGCGCGTAGTCACTTTCACATGATGACGTCTCAGCCTCGAAGAAGGAACACGGCCGCTCACGTCCTAGTTGTATATGTGATTGCCAGCTGGGGGAGAGCCAACGAAGGAAAAAAGGCTCACTATCCAGTGCCAGGCCAAGTGCGGAAAGGACGTGAAGTGCGGCGGCGGGCACATGAAGATCAGGTCCAACCTCGACCTGACCACGTTCGGCGACCCGACGCAGCACAACATCATGTTCGGGCCGGACAAGTGCGGGTGCACTAGAAGGACGCATCTCATTTTTTGTTACAAGGGTACTAAAGTGCTCAAGGAGTCCGACCAGTCCTACAAGCAGGGCAAGGAAGCTGGCATCTCACACCTGCACCGCATGGTTTCAAGCCGGACAACACCTTCCGCGCCGAGATCGACAATGAGACGACCTATGAGGGATCCATCAAGGATGACTGGGAGGTCCTGAAGCCGAAGGAGATCCCAGACCCAGACGACAAGAAGCCAGAGGATTGGGTGGACAGCTCCATGACGGACGATCCCGAGGACAAGAAGCCCGACGATCGGGACGAGGAGGACGGCAAATAGGAGACCCCCATGAAGGACAATCCCGCGTACAAGGGTGACTGGAGCGCCAAAAGGATCGAGAATCCGGCTTGCAAGGGAATTTGGGAGACCAAGAGGATCGCCAACCCTACCCTGAGTACGTCGACGATGACAAGGTCTACTCGTACGCTGATTTCGGTTTCTGGGGTTGGGACCTGTGGCAGGTCACGGGTGGCACCATTCTCGACAACATCATCTTGTGCGATGATATGGTTGAGGCCGATCCGTTCGCCAAGAAGTGGAAGGCAGCGAACGAGGCCGAGACGAACGAGGAGGACGAGGCCAAAAAACCGAGAGCGCCGACGACGACAAGGCGGAGGCAGAGGAGGTAGCGTTGCCACCGAGGCGTTCGTCGATGGCGCTCGTTCGCTGATGTTCCAACTTGTCAAATGTTGTACACGTTAGCTGAACTGTTTGTCATTGTCGCTTGTCCTGTGCAATATGTGTGCAGGTTTGTGCTGCTGCTTGGCTTAACTGGTGTATTGTCCACATCGCATGACGTGAGCGTCGCCTTGAGGTCAGTCTCCCATGGCCCCGAGCGCCTTTCCCTTCCTGGAGTCTCTTGGCTCTCTGGGAGGGGCTGCGATCAGGGGGCCAGCGCAATAGAGCCCCGCGTTCACTATGTTGTACATGCTCGCGTGGCACGTGAAGACACAGAGCTTGTTGGCCGAAGGGGCCCACTAATCCAAGATCCATGCGTTGCAATTCGTTGCCTTGCACTTGTGCTTTCCAGGGAGCTCATACGGGGCTTGAGTGAATGAATGAATGAATGAATGAATGAATGAATCATCCTCCGCCTCCTTCCCGTCCTCCTCCTCCTTCTCGTCCTCCTCCGCATCGTCCTCCATCCCTTGTCATCCTGGACAGCTCGTCCTCCGTCCTTGTTATTTCGGGGGTCGAGTTTCAAAATTCTGCTCTCGCCATAGCACCCTGTGCATGTGTCCTAAAGGTTTGGAACATGAGGGAAACGGGTGGTCGTTTTCAACATGTGCCCCCTGTCTGATCGTCGCAAACATTCGTTCCAATAGCTTGCAGTAGTTTTAAGGATGGTCGTCGGTTCCTTTTCAAGGCGGGGCTCTCGCTGTAGAGCCGCGCGCATTCGTTCCAAAATCGGACAACAGCTAGGATTGTGTACATAAGGTTTTCGAAATGGGGCGATCACTCCAGCTTCATGCACGTCCGTTTGCTTTGCATGGTTTTGAAGAATGGAGGGCTGTTCTTTTCCGACATGGAGCTCCCGCTCGGTATTTCATCATTGTAAGACCCAGAATTTCAATGAGCTGGAATATTGAAAAACTACCACGCTGTGCAACGTGGTGTCCAGCGATGTCCAAGAAACGCCCCCCCCATCCAAGTGATTGTTTCGCACGTTTTCGTCTGCCGCCATGAACTGCAAGGACGTCTCAAGCCAGAGTTCCATCGTGGAGAAGAGCATGCAAAGCAGATCCTGGTCGAAGCGGGGCACTCGCCAAACGGGCAGGCCCAATTGCATTGATCGTTCAAAGGGGCGAGTCATGTGATCATAAGGAAGTTCTGCAGGGACGTATGAGGAGGGGACATGGGACTTGGCGGTGCACTGCAGCATCTTTGACGCATCTTGAATTTACATTGGTCCTCCCCCTCATCCCCCTCCTGCTCCTCCTCCCCGTCCACCTCCTCCTCCTCCTCCTCCTCCTCCTCCTCCTCCTCCTCCTCCTCCTCCTCTTTCTCGTCCTCCTCCTCCTACTTCTTCTCCCCCTCATGTTTCTTTCTCCTCCTCCTCCTCCTCCTCCTCCTCCTCCTCCGTCCTCCTCCTCCTGCTCGTCCTGCTCCGCGCCTCCTCCACTCCACCGCCACATCCCCCTCCTTCCACCACTCCTCCACCTCCTCCTCCTCCTCCTACCTCTCCTCCTCTTCCACCTCACCACCCCTCCTCTCTTCCTCCTCCTCCTCCTTCTTCTCTCCTCCTCCTCCTCCTCCTCCTCCTCCTCCTCCTCCTCCTCCTCTCCTCCTCCTCTTCCTCCTCTCCTCTTCTTCCTCCTCCTCTTCCTCCTCCTCATCCTCCTCCTCGTCCTCGTCCTCGTCCTCCTCCTCGTTTCCGAGGATCGCGCCGCATCGCAGATGCATCGGCAATGTGGCTCGATGCGGAGCCCGATCTTGTCCACGCCAACGGCGCCGATGCATCGTCGACGTCGCCGATGCATCGGCGATACGGCGCGATCTTCCGACCCCTTCTCCTCAGGCGCGATTTGGGAGGCCTCCATTGTCGTGGCAGCACCCAGGCCAGGGGTCGCTTCGTTTTCTCCGATTCGATTCGATCCGATTTCGATGGATTCCGATTTTGATTCGATTCGATTTGTCCGCCGATTCGACGTTTCCCGACTAGGTTGCCGATTTCCGCCGACCCGATTCATGTCGATCGCCGATCCGATTTATCGATTCGATTCTGGGCTCCCCTGCCTGGCCCGCACTGCACTCAAGACGCTGACATTGGGAGCAGTTCGGGTTCGGAAGGGGCTCGCTGTTCCCTGGGTCCTTCCGTGGCTGCTCCTCCAGCGCTTCTCGTGCACCCAGGCGCTGCTTGGGGCCAGTAGGCCTCGCTCCTTATCGAATGTTCCTTCTGGAGGCAGGTTGGCTGCAGAGCCCGAGCGATCGCGCGTACCCGAAGTGCTCACGCGGTCCCAGACATCCGAGGTCTTGACTTTTTTGATACGGGGTTCCCAGAGGTCCCGACTCCTCCTTCTCCCCCTCCTCCTCCTCCTGCTCCTCCTGCTCCTCCTCCTCCTCCTCCTCCTCCTCCTCCTCCTCCTCCTGCTCGTCCTGCTCCTCGCCTCCTCCTCCACCTCCACATCCCCCTCCTCCACCACCTCCTCCACCTCCTCCTCCTCCTCCTCCTCCTCCTCCTACTCCTTCTCCCCATCCTCCCCTTTTCCTCCTTTCCGAGGATCGCGCCGTATCGCAGATGCATCGGCGATGTGGCTCGATGTTAGTGAGAGTCGTGTTATCACGGGCCGGCCTGTCATGAGAGGCGTGTTTCCAAGGACCTGACATGAGAGTCATGTGTGCTCCCCCATGGCCGGCCTGTCATTGAGAGTCTTGTTTTCACGGGCCTGGTGCCCAGCGAGGGCCCCATTCGCGGCCGACAGCGGCCAAACATGTTCTTCGTGGTTTTGTTGTCTTACGACGCGAGCAGGTCCGGCGTCCGCGCCCATGTGAGCGACGGAGGATGCCCGTGCAAGCCGCCGAGCAAGGTCGCTGGGTCGTCTCACGTGCGGCCGCACACGGCCAAACATGTTCTTCGTGATTCGTTGCTTTACGACGCGAGCAGGTCTGGCGTCTGCGCCCATGCGAGCGACGGAAGACGCCCGCGCAAGCCGCCGAGCAAGGTCGCTGGGTCGTCTCACGTGGAGATCCGCGGCTTTTGGCCGCCCGCGCCGTTTTCTGCTCGTCTTTCCGCAGATGGAGCACGTCGTGCGCCTGGCCATCGGCAAGCGCCGCCTGCTCTGCCATCTCGGGGACTCCCTGAGGGCGGGGCGCGCGCTGAAGCCGGGCTCGCTGAAGTCGGCGGAGGTCTCGAAGAAGGACGCTGCGAACCCAGACATGTTAGCGTTGTACAAGAGTCACAGCAGGAGGTTGCGAGCCGTTTTCCTCGCCAGGCCCTGGGGAAAGGATGAGTAATTCCGGGGACCCCGCATTGAAAGAATCTGGATATCGCATGTCAGGGAGCGAAGGGCAACCTCGTCGTTCGTCGTCGTCGTCGTCGTCGTCGTCGTCGTCGTCGTCGTCGTCGTCGTCGTCGTCGTCGTCGTCGTCGTCGTCGACGTCGACTTCGTCGTCGTCGTCGTCGTCGTCGTCGTCGTCGTCGTCGTCGTCGTCCTCGTCGTCGTCGTCGTCCTCGTCGTCGTCGTCGTCACTCCCCGAGATCTGGGCGTTGCAATTCTGCCACGCCGGGCGTCTTCGCCCCGCTTCGGGACCGGGGGCCCTCGCAGATCGATCCGACCCGGAGAGTGCCGCAGATTTTTGTTCGGGGCTCCAGGAGTGGCGTTGCAACTTCTCCTGCAGGAGGAGGAGGAGGAGGAGGCGGCGGAGGAGGAGGAGGAGGAGAAGGAGGAGGAGGAGGCGGAGGAGGAGGCGGAGGAGGAGGAGGAGGCGGAGGAGGAGGAGGAGGAGGAGAAGGCGGAGGCGGAGGCGGAGGCGGAGGCGGAGGCGGAGGCGGAGGCGGAGGAGGAGGAGGAGGAGGCCTCGGATCTCAGGGTCGTCCGTCGTTCGTCGTCGTCGGCCCCGACGAAGGACGCCACGAAGAGCAAGGTCGACGGGAGCACCCGCGGGGACATCCGGGACCTGGAGGACCTGACGGTGGTCCTGCTGTATGTCATGCAGAGGTTCCCCGAGCGCGCGCCTGTCACGCGAGCGCCGGCTGCCGAAGACACCCTAGCCCACGCCAGATGTAAAAAAGTTGGCGATTCTCATCATCTGCCCCCCAGACATGCGACGTCCTGATTTTTGCAGGGCGGCGTCCCCGGAAATCCCGACCCTTTCCCCAGGACCGGCTCTTCGTCCCGAGTCGTTTTGTTGACGGCCCTGGGGCCCGGCAAGGGCCCCCCCAGGGGCTGAAGATAGCAAAAAAAATTGCCGTCCTGATTGCTTTACGACGCGGGCATGTCTGGGATGGGCTGTTGCGGGGAAGAGCCAGGAAGAAGGGGCACAAAACACTAAAGCCACAAAAAGAGGTTCCCCGAGGGCGCGCCGCTGAGCCTCCTGAAGCAGCACATCCAGACGCACGCCCACCGCACCCTCAGCGAGGCGGACTTCAAGTGCAGCAAGCTGGCCGACATCTTCAAGATGGCGCCCCTGCGCAACATCTTCCCGCTGGAGCACGTCGCGCACCGCAACGAGATCGTGGTCGTGCCGCCGAGGATGCCGGCGTCGCGCCCATCGGGGGGAAGGGAGAGGGGGCGGCGGGCCTCCTCGGAAGGCGGCGGGGCTCCTCGGAGGCCCCTCGGCCTTCTGAGAAGCCTTCTGCGGCGTCGGCAAGGGCTGCCCAGACATGACCGCGTCGTCAAAAAATCAGGACGGAAAGTTTTTCGCTATGTTCGGCCCCTGGGGGCCCTCGCCAGGCCCTGGGACCGTCAAAAAACGACTCAAGATGAAAAACCAGCCCCGGGGAAAGGGTCTGGACTTCCGGGGACGCCGCATTGAAAAAAACACGACATCGCAGGTCTGGGTGAGGAAGCCTCTCAGAAGGCCAGAGGCCTTCTGAGCCTCCCAGGAAGGCCCGCCCCCTCTGCCTTTCCCCCTGGACGCGCCGCCGAAGGATGGAGTGGATCCCCCCCCGCCTGCTGCCACGCCTGCAGCAGCTGCAGCAGCAGCTGCAGCCTTTCGGAGACGCCGTCGCCGCCCACGCGGGCATGGGCGCCGAGCTCGGCCCCGCGGGCATGCCCTACGCGATGCAGTGGGGCGCGATGGGCGGGGTGCCGATGCAGACGCAGCCGGGGTTCGTGCTCGGCGCGAGCACCAGCATGCCGCCCGGCTGGGTCATGACGCCCCAAGTCGCCAGGGGCAACGACAGTGACCCCACGTTAGACCCAGACCCCCCTCGCGGCGTGCTAGAAACACGACGCAAGGTTCTGGGCTGTTTCCGGCCTCTGAGGGCCCTCGCCGGGCTTGTGGGGCCGTCAAGAAACGATTCAGGATGAAAAGAGGGTCCCAGGGAATGGGCCGAGACTTCCGGGCGCTCACGTTGCGAAGAGATCGCGCCGTCAGGGGGTCTGGGGAGCCACCTTTCGCCAGGGTGGCCTCTCTGGTGCTGGCGGGAGGAGGAGGAGGAGGAGGAGGAGGAGGAGGAGGAGGAGGAGGAGGAGAGGAGAGAGGAGGAGGAGAAGGAGGAGGAGTGAGAGGAGGAGGAGGAGGAGAGGAGGAGGTAGGAGGAGGCAGGAGGAGAGGAGGAGGAGGAGGAGGAGGAGGAGGAGGAGGAGGAGCAGGAGGAGCAGGCGAGGAGGAGTAGGAGGAGGAGGAGGAGGAGGAGGAGGAGGAGGAGTAGGAGGTGGAGGAGGAGGAGGAGGAGGAGGAGGAGTGTCAATATCGTTTAACCGACCCCCATTCCCATCCTCATCCCTTTCGAGACCCCCACCAAATTACCACCCCAGTTGGGGATACACCCTTCGAAACCCGAAGGGAACGGCCTATATCCCCATCCAGGGGGGTAAATCGGCCAGTGGGGCCCAGGCCACGCCGCTGAAGATGGGTGTCGGATGAACGATGCTCAGTGTGCTCGCCACGTGAGCGGCGGGAGGAAATGGGGTCGACTTCACCGACATTGGCGCGTAAGCTGCCCGCGTGAGGTCGCGTGTGAGCGCCCTCGTTCTCAGTGTAACGTGCCGCGCTGGCGGCCCACGCAAGCCGCCGCTGAAAGTAGCTGTGCCATCTCGCGAAGCACCCCTTTCTTTTCGTTGCCCACGTGGCTCCCCAGAAGTCTGGACCTTAGTGGGCCCTGGAAACGACCAGGCCGTTTTTATTGGTTGCGTTTTGCAGTGTTTTTGTTGCCAGTTCTGGCGCCGTTGTTTCCCATGTTCCGTCGCCAGTGTTTTTGTTCCAGAGTCTGGGTCAATCTTGGAACCGTTCTCCCCCGTTTCTGGGAGCCGTTTCTGTTAACCGTCTTCACGTTCCAGAGACAGTTTTTTCGATAACGCCCAAAAAAATCTCTGCCGTTTCCGGGGCCCACTACGGTCTGGACCCCTTCCCAGGGACTGGCTTTTCATCCCGAGTCGTTTCTTCATTTGTCCACAGGCCCCGTAGGGGCCCTTGGGCCGAAAGTCTGCAAAAGCCTCCCGTCGTGACTTTGTGTTCGCGACGCGAGGACGTCGGAGTGCCGCCGATCCATCGGCGGTGTGTCGTCGATTCCAGGTCATTGCTTTCCTCGGATTGACCCAAAAGGGGGTCCAGCGACAAGGGGGCGGTGCAATTGATTTGGTGCATCGATTGGTGGGGTTGCAATACACATGTGGCGTGCAATACGTTCCGGGGCGCAGATGCATTGCTTTGCCTTCGCGTACAATACATTACTTGCAATACAATGCAATACAATTCTCCGGCGCGATACGTTTGCAATACACTTGCCCCAAATCTATTGCACCACCCCCTTTCAGCTGGACCCCCTTTGGGAATTTCCCCCGTGGAGCGAGGTCCCCCCAGTTTCGACTCTCCGCCAGGTCGGGGTGTCCACGGAGGACGGGGCGGCGGGCTACGCGGCCGGTGCTCAGCATCCTCCAACATATCCCCATCCTCGGCGGCGAGCGAGGCGGGGAGGTAAGACGGGGGTGGCCCTCTTCAGAAGGTTCGGACGTTCCCCGGCCTGCTGAGAAGCGGTCCGAGCCTGCCCTGACGACAACCAACAAACTTCTCGGCAGGCGCGAGGGCTTCTGGGAAGTCCCGCCGCCTTCTCAGAAGGGGCCTTCTCCTTCTCACTTCCCCCCCCCCGCTCGCCGCCGACACCCCCACCTTGGCCTCGGCATCTCAGGCCACCCGCCCGCCCTCCTGGGCGGGGGGCCGGGCCCCGCACAGCCCGAGGGGGGCGGGCACACCTCCCCGCCTGGGGGAGCACGCCGGCCAGTGGGGCCAAGGCCACGCCGGTCCCAGAGCCCCGACGTCGGGATTTATGTCACGACGTCAACCCCCAGAGGTTTTAAGTCGGGCCGGTCCGTCTGCATGGGGAGTATTATGAAATATTACATTCTGAATTTGCACCTACAATTTAGCCATAAAGTTATGTTATGTTTTTAATATCATTGTATAATTGCTTGTTTACCAGAAACTTGGGATGATTATTATGATATGTGGTGGCTATGTTTGAGCATGTGTTGGGGGTATTCTTCATTTTTCGTCCAAAATCCGCCTGTAGGGGGGAACGCCCGACCTAACCCAAAGGTCTCGACCGCTTCCTCCTGCAGCGTTTCTCGACGGCCCCGAGCCCCGGCAGGCGCCCCCAGAGGCCGAACGTGTCGAGAAGCCGCCCGCGATGAGTTCTGTCATCGCTCGAGGGGGCCTGGGATGGCAGGGCCGCCTACGATCCGATTCGATGCGATTCGATTCGCCGGCTCCCCAGAGATCCAACGCATTGAAAAAACCAAGACGGAGGTTTTCTGCTATTTTCGGCCCTCGGGGGCCCTCGCCGGGCCTCGGGACCGTCAGAAAAGGATTCAGGATGAAAAACCGGCCCTCGCTAAAGGGTCGGGACTTCCCGGGACCGGCCGTATTGAAAAAAGCACGACATCGGATCTTTGGGTCGGGCCGCGATTCCAATTCGATGCGATCCAGCTCCATTCACTGGCATCGGCCAGGGCCATCGGGAAGCGGGGTGCGGCGATTCGATGCCGATCCGATCCGAGGCGATTCGCTGGCGAGTCGATCCGCTCTCGATCCGATCCGAGTTCGCGATCCGCTTTCAACGGTCCCGAGGCCCAGTAGCGGCCCCCAGAGGCCAAAAATGTAGAAAAACCGCCCGTGGTGGTTTTGGTCCGCGCTGCAGGAGGCCTGGACTGGCCCTGAGATCCGACATAGCGCAAAAATGCGCAACAACGTGAAAATCCGCGCCGGGAGCCCTGGGCCCCATCTTTCTGCGTCATTCTTCGGGTCGGATCGATCTGTGAGGGCCCCAGGGCCCGAAAAGAGGCGAAAACGCCCGGCTCGAAAAAATTGAGTCGCCAGGATCTCAGGGTCTTTCCCCCCCTTCCCCACCTGCCCCCCTCCTTCACATCGGGGCCAAATAGCTTGGCCTGCTCCAGTCTGGCTCGGGGCTCGAGAAAATGGAGTCGCCAGGATCCTAAGGGAGGGCGAGCGATCGGTCTAGCCACGCTCAGGTGCGTGGCCGAGGCCGTGGTGAGCGGAGGCGGCCCCCAGCCGGCCCCCCGGACCAGCTGCGCGAGGGGCGGCGCAGCGACCCGGGCGGGGGCCCTTTTGCCGGCTGGGCTCTTCCTCGGGCAGTGCCGGGAGGGGTCGCCACCAGGGGGTCGTTTTCTGATTCATTGTTGTGCCGATCGGCGCGGGCCATCGCATCCCCCTCCTCCTCCTCCTCCTCCTCCTCCTCCTTCTCCTCCTCCTCCTCCTCCTCCTCCTCCTCCTCCTCCTCCTCCTCCTCCTCCCTCCTCCTCCTCCTCCTCCTCCTCCTCCTCCTCCTCCTCCTCCTCCTCCTCCTCCTCCTCCTCCTCCTCCTCACCCCCCCATGGAGTAGATCTTGGCGATTTGGGGAGCCTGCTTCGATCAGGTGGAGGCTCCCCCATGGGACGCATTGCTGCCAACAGTCGCACACAGCAGCAGAGGTCCGGAGCCAGAGAGCCCGCCCCCCTCCCTCGCCCCCCCGCCTTTCGCTGGTTGTCGAGACGCCGAACCCTGAGATCAGACGTAGCGGAAAAATATGCAACATCGTCAAAATCCACGCCCAGAGCCCTGAGCCCCATCTTCCTGCGTTATTTTTCCGGCCGGATCGATCTGTGAGGGCCCCGGGCCCGAAAAGAGGCGAAAACGCCCGGCTCGGAAAAATTGAGTCGCCAGGATCTCAGGGAATAAGAAAACGTTGACCAGAGGGGCCGCCAGCTCCTCCCATGCATGCTCGGGTCGTGAGATCCTCACGACGGGCGGCTTTGGACCATGTTCGGCCTCGCGGGGGGTTCTCGCTCGCCAGGCCCCGCGACCGTCGCAAGAAGCCTCGCGACGACAAAGCCGGCCCAGGGGAAAGCGTCGGGATCTCTGGGGAGCCCGCAGTGGAAAAATCAAGACGTCGCGCGTTTGGGACCAGGTCCTCCCTCCCCCCCTCCCTCTGAGAGTCGAGCTTCCAGGGTCGAGGCTCGAGGAGGGTTTGGGGACGTTCCTGCGCGCTTCTGCCAAGCTCTGGAAGGGTCCTGGAGGGGCAGCTTCTTCGAGGAAGTGGCGCCCTCTCGAGGCAGTTCGTGGCGACCCCTCGATGGTGACCCTCCGTGGCATTGCCTGACTCTCTGGTGCAGCCCCGCGAGCCTACGTAGTTTTTGCCACATGCCGCAGCCCGGAGGGGGAGGGAAAGGGTGGTGCGGGACCTTGAGGTCCCCAGAGATCCGACGCATTGCAAAAGTCGAGACGGAGGTTTTCTGCTATTTTCGGACCTCGGGGGCCCTCGCCGGGCCTCGGGACCGTCAAAAGACGACTCGGGATAAAAAACCAGCCCTGGGGAAAGAAAGGGTCGGGACTTCCCGGGACCCCGTATTGAAGAAAACACGACATCGGATATCTCGGTCAGGGCGTTGCAAGTTTTGTCACGCAGGGCGCTTTCGCCAGGTTCCAGGCCCCAGGGCCAGCACGGATCGGCCCGGCTCGAAGATGCAGCGGAAAGGCTGGGTCTAGGGATCCAGTCGTGATTTCTCACGGCGCTGCAATGTGTTCGTCACGTCGAATCTTAGCCGTCAGAGAGCGACTCGGAATAAACAGCTAGCTCCGGGGCTCCAGAAATCCACGCTGCGATAGAGCCGCGTCTCCGGCGTTCCGAGATGGCAGGGGGAGAGAAGGAGGAGGCGGGGAGGCTCCTCCCCCTCCTCCGCCCCCCTTCCTTCTTCTCGTCCTCCTCTCGGGGGGAGGGGGAGGGGGAGGGGAAGCGACGATGACGAGCACGATCAGTTGAGTTTTGGGAGCTGCGCGCAGCCAGCCTCTCCCGGCGGCTTCCCGGGCCGACCCACTTGCACAATCTCTTCTTTCGCCAGCTGCGCCGGGTTGCGGGAGTGCACCCGCAGCAGCAGCGGCAGCGCGAGAGGCCGCCACTCCGCCGGCGGGAGGGAGGACAGGTGAGGTGCCGTCCATTTCGTTCGGGAGACGCACGATTCTCCTCCTCCTCCTCCTCCTCCTCCCCCTCCTCCTCTTCCTCCCCCCCCTCCCCCCTCCTCCTCTTCCTCCTCCTCCTCCTCCTCCTCCTCCTCCTCCTCCTCCTCCTCCTCCTCCTCCTCTTCCTCCCCCCCCCCTCCTCTCCTCCTCCTCCTCCTCCTCCTCCTCCTCCTCCTCCTCCTCCTCCTCCTTCCCCCCTCCCCCCCCCTCCCCCCTCCTCCTCCTCCTCCTCTCCTCTTCCTCCTCCTCCTCCTCCTCCTCCTCCTCCTCCTCCTCATCCTCCTCCTCCTCCTCCGCGTCACCTGGGCTCTGCACTGGAGCGGCGGTCCCGCCCAACACGGGGTCACACAGCCCCGCTGGGGCGGGGCTCCCCCCTCCCCCCGGGGGCTCCCCTCGAGGGATCGCAGCATGCCCGCCAATCCCAGACATCGGGCGTCTCGAAAAAATCAAGACAGAGGTTTTTCGCAGTTTTTGGCCTCTCGGGGCCCTCGCCAGGCCTCGGGGCCGTCAAAAAACGACTCGGGATGAAAAACCGGTTCCAGGGAAGTGGTCGGGAGGTCGGGGGCCCGCGTCTCGAAAAAATCGAGACGTCGGATGTTTGGGATCTCGGGCGTGTGACTGCCGCAAGTTGACAGCGCCACGAAATGGATGCGGCCAGGTCCCCAGACGTCCGCCAGTATGACTCTGCCAATCCGCGGCCCCGGAGGCCCCTCCCCCTCCATGGGGGTGGCCCTTCTTACTTCTTATCCCAGATCCACGTCTGATGGCCCCCCGGCCCGATCACGGGCCCCGGAGGCCGAAACCCAGGCAAAAACACCGCCAGACTGCAAGAGTCATACACTCGGATCCTTGGGCGGTGAGCAGGGAGGTGGGCGGGCGGGCGGGCAGGACGGGCGGGCCGCTCCGGGCGGAGCTTAGCCCCGGCCCCGGCCAGCCCAACCGCGCCGCGCCGGCGAGAGCGGCCTTCAGGTCTGGCCAGGCGCCTCGGCGGAGGGCCTGCCGCGCCCGCGCGAGGCGAGCGCGCGGGCGCCGTGACCGCCAGCGATCGGGCGCACGAAAAGCGGCGGTGCTGGTGGTGATGGTGGTGGTGATGGTGGTGGTGATGGTGGTGGTGATGGTGGTGATGGTGGTGGTGATGGTGATGGTGATGGTGATGGTGATGGTGATGGTGATGGTGATGGTGATGGTGATGGTGATGGTGATGATGATGGTGATGGTGATGGTGATGGTGATGGTGATGGTGATGGTGATGGTGACGATGGTGGTGGTGGTGGTGGTGGTGGTGGTGGTGGTGGTGGTGGTGGAAGTGGTGGTGGTGGTGGTGGTGGTGGTGGTGGTGGTGGCGGTGGTGGTGGTGGTGGTGATGGTGGCAGTGGCGATGATGGTGATGATGGTGGTAGTGGCGATGATGGTGATGATGGTGATGTGGTGATGATGGTGATGGTGATGGAAGCGGTGATGGTACTGATGCTGATGCTGATGGTGCAGATGGTGACGTTGATGCTGCTATCTTCTCATATCTAAAGAATTATTATTGTTGATCCCCCTGGTGCCCATTGCGTCTTAAAGTGTTTGTCACTTGAATTGCTTCTCTTGGGGCTCGCACCTTGTTTTTTGCCGGCGACAGTTTGCGGCTCAGCTTGGGCCCCTGGCCTCCGATCTACAACAACAACAACAAGAACAACAACAACAACAACAACAACGACTCCCGCCGAATACTTCATCACAATGTATTTCGAAATCGCTCCTTCGCGCGGGATCCGGTTATAGATTATGCAGGAATCGCGCTCTCGCGTGGCATCTCCTCGCAAGTCGTTGCGGCGCCGCGCCCCCAGCACTCAGGAATCGCGCTCTCGCGCTGGATTTCCTCGTGATTTCACTTGCGACGCGCTCCATCGCTCGAGACTTTCGATTCCTGTGCGACTTCCCGCTCTGCGACCCGCGCGTTCGACCCGGCCGTCTGGGCCCGCCGCCCGACCAGCCCGTCGGGGCTCGTCCGCCCGACCCGCCCGTCTGGTTCTGCCGTTTGTCTTCCTGTTCCGAACCCTTCCTCCTGCTAATCTCCCCTCTCCTCCTCTTCTCCATCCCTTATCATTAATTATTATAATTATTCTTCTTCTTATTATTAGTATTCTTCTTATTCTTATTAGTATTATTCTTATAATTATTCTTATAATTATTATTAGTATTCTTCTTCTTCTTGTTATTATCATTATTATTATTATTCCTCTTATTATTCTTAGTATTATCATTACTATTATTATTATTATTCTTTTTCTTATTAATATTATTATTATTATCCTCCTCCTCCCTCTCCTCCTCCTCCTCCTCCTCCTCCTCCTCCTCCTCCTCCTCCTCCTCCGCCTCCTTCCTCCTCCCTCTTCTCCTGCTAATCTCTCGCGCTCCGTCCTTCTCCCTCCCCGTTCCATCCGTCTTCTCTTGCGTCCCTCGGTCTGCACCAGGTATGCGTGGCAGGCACGGAAGATTTGCACCAAAGGGGGCACGATCGAGGACGAAGAGGGCGGGTATCGAGGGTTTGGGATATACGATACGCGTGTTGAGTGGCACGCGAGCGTGTAAGAGCGCACAGACTTAAATGATTGTTGTTAATGGTGGTGATGGTGATGATGACGCTGACGATGATGATGACGACGATGGTGATAATAATGATGCTGATGGTGATGACGATCATGATGATGGTGATGATGATGGTGATGGTGATGATGATTATGATGGTAATGATGATGACAACGATGACGATGACGATGGTAATGGTAACGATGATGCTGATGATGATGGCGATGGTGATGGTGTTGGCGATCGTGATGATGCTGATGATGATGAGTATGATGATGGTGATGGTGATGGCGATGATGATGATGGTGATGAATATGATGATGATGATGATGATGACGATGGTGGTGGTGATGATGAGGATGATGACAGTGACAATGATCATGAGAATGATGATGCTGATGACGATGATCATCATGGTGGTGGTGATGGCGCTGGTGGTCGTGATGATGGTGATGGTGATGCTGATGATGATGCTGATGATGACGATGATGATAATGCTGATGCTGATGATGATGGATATGATGATAAGGGTGATAGGGGTGACGATAACGATGTTGATGATGACGATGGTGATGGAAATGATGATGACGATGAAGATGATGATGCTGATGCTCATGATGATGATGATGGTGATGATATTGATGGTAATGGCGATGATGATGACGATGGTGATGACGATAATGCTGATGCTTATATTGATGATCATGATGATGACGATGCCGATGGCGATGACGATAATGGTGATAATGATGATGCCGATGAAGATGATGATGGTGATGGTGATGGTGATGGTGATTGTGATGGTGATGGTGATGGTGATGGTGATGCCGACGATGATGATGCTGATGACGATGCTGACGATGATGATGATAATAGTGATAGTGATTGTGATAATGATCATGGCGATGACGATGGCGATGATAGTGATAATGATTATTCTGATGATGTTGAGGATAACGACAACGATGCTAATGCTGATGCTGACGCTGCTGATGCAGATGATGATGGCGATGGTGATGACGATGATAATGATGATGATGACGATGATCATGGTCATGATCACTATGGCAATGATGATAGTGATTATCCTAGTGATGATGTTGACGATGGCGATGGCCATGACAGTGTGACGCTGATGATGATGATGACGACGATGATGATGAAGATGATGATGATGGCAATGGTGATGGTGATGGCGACGATGATGATGCTGATGCTGATGCTGATGAAGATGCTGATGCTGATGATGATGATGCTGATGATGAGGGTGATGATGATGATCATCATCATGATGATGATGATGATCATCATCATCATGATGCGCGCGTTGGCTGCCTCCAGCGGGCACACTATAAGTGGCAGCGGCGAGGCTGGCAGCCTGCTGTTTTTTTGTCCTTCCCTGAGATTTTTGGGCGCTCTAGGCACGGCCTCCGAGGGCCGAGATCGAGGCAAACATCCGCTGGGACAGAAGAAAGCATAGAGCCAAGACGCTCAAATAAGGAATGGTTTGGGTTCGAAAGGGGCTCGATGTTCCTTAGCTCATCGCGCACATTGTCCAGGGAGGCCCGTTTGGCGCGTCAGGCGCACGCACGGCGACGACGACGGCGACGACGACGACGACGACGACGACAACGACGACGACGACGACGACGACGACGACGGCGACGACGGCGACGGCGCCCGACGACGACGACGACGACGACCACGACCACGACGACGACGACGACGACGACGACGACGACGACGCGACGACGACGACGACGACGACGACACCAACGACGACGACAACGACGATGGCGATGACGACGACGACGCAGACGACGACGACGACGACAACGACGACGACGACCACGACGACTGCGACGACGACGACGACGGCGCTGGCGACGACGACTCCGACGGCGACTACGACGACGACGACGACGCCGGCGACGACGACGACGATGACGACGACGACGACGGCGACAACGACGACGACGACGAAGGTGACGACGACGACGGCGCCCGCGACGTCGGCGGCGCCCGACGACGACGACGACGACGACGACCACGACGACGACCACGCGACGACAATGACGATACGACGGCGACGACGACGCCGGCGACGCGACGACGACGACGACGGCGACGACGGAACGGCGCCGGCGCCGGCGCCGGCGACGACGACGCGATGACGACGACGACGCTGGCGACGACGACGACGATGTTGACGACGACGACGACGACGGCGACGACGGCGACGGCGGGCGACGACGCGATGACGGCGACGGCGCCGGTGACGACGCGACGGCGACGACGACGACGACGACCACGACGAACGACGACGACGACGCGACGACGACGCCAGCGACGACGACGACGACGACGACACGACGACGACGACGACGACGACGACGACGACGGCGACAACGAACGACGGCGACAGCGATGGCGACGACGGCGACGGCGCCGGCGCCCGACGACGACGACGCTACGACGGCTACGACGGCGACGACG